AGAGAGAGAGAGAAGGGTGGTGGGAGGGGTGGGAAAGAGAAGGAGACGAGTACGGAAGGAGAAAGAGGGGGAGAGAGAGTGGAGAGAAGGAGAAGAGACGAAAGGAAGGAGGGGAAGAGAGGGATAAAAAGATAGAGGGGGGTGGGAGACAGAGACGCAGACAGGTATGAAAAATAGAGAGACGGGGAGAAGGACAAAGAGGCAAAGGGAAGGAGTGAGAGAGAGAGATAAAGAGGAAGAAGGGTGTAGGTAGAGAGACCGGGGGTGGAGAGGGAGAGAGGTGAGGGAGGAAAAGACAAGGAAAGAAAGAAAGAAAAAAGAAAAACAGATGATAGAAACAAACAAACAAACAAACAAACAAACAAACGAACAAACAAACAAAAGGACAAACAAAAAATAATAGAGAGAGAGAGAGCGAATACTGGGATGTTTCAGGGTTTTCCCCTTTTCATTACGTTGGTACTTCCTCTGCACTTTGTATTACAGAGGGATATTCTCCTTTGAAGTGTACCTACTATAAAAGCAGTGGTGCAATGTACGTTTGTACGCTCTACTCCATGATTAGCACATGATTAACTTTTATAAGAAGGCGAGGACCTTGGTCCACAGATGGAAGTGCAGAAAAAGAGGATGATTGAAGAAAGAAAGATGTACAGGGAGGAGAACAGAAATATACAGATATGATGTACTGAAATTATGTACTGAAATTATGTACAGAGATGATGTATAGAGATGATGTATAGAAATAATGTAAAGTGATGATAAAAGAGATGATGAACTGGGATTTTGTAAAGAGATGATAAATGCGATGATGTATAAAAATTAGAATAGAGATGATGTTCAGAGATCATGTTCAGCGATGATATACAGTGATGATGTACAGATGATGTATAGAGATGATGTATAGAGATGAGAAAAGAGATGATGTACAGGGATTTTGTACAGAGATGATAAATGTGATGATGTATAAAAATTAAAATAGAGATGATGTACAGAGACCATATTATTCATCGATGATGCACCGAATGATGTATTTAGATGATGTACAGTGATGATGTATAGAGATGATGTACAGAGATGATGTATAGAGATGATGTATAGAGATGATGTATAGAGATGATGTACAGAGATGATGTATAGAGATGATGTATAGAGATGAAGTATAGAGATGATGTATAGAGATGAAAAAAAGATGATATGCACTGATAATTTACAGGAGTGAAAATGACTAGTGCATGTCTGAGTAAAAAATAGATGGATGTGTTATCCCTTTAGAAAGAGACGAAGAGAGAGAGAGAGAGAGCGAGAGAGAAATAGAGAGGGGGGGGCTTAGAGGCAGACAGACAGACAGACAGACAGACAGACAGACAGACAGACAGACAGACAGGCAGGCAGACAGACAGACAGACAGACAGATATATTGTGATGCGGGTGCATGAAAAGTGTACGTTGTGAAAAGCTGGACC